CCCCAGGTTCTCCCCGGCTGAAGGATTTAAAACAATAGAAAGAAGAATACCCCCTAAAGGGGAGATGGGTAGCAAGGGGGGGGGGGGGTAAACAATACTTAGTGATAATAAATTAAAAAGTATAATGGTTCTTGCTGGTCAGTTGCATTTCTGTAGTCGGTTATTCGCAATTAGGGACGGCGCCATATTATCTGGACTCAACTAAGCTAAACTCCTCTAGTTTGTACATAAACAATAAATAAGTACATTAAAAACATGTGAAACTTAACAAGTTTTTCTTAACATTGAAAGAAGCATCATTAACAATGTTACCTGCTACCCAGTGGCACAGCGATAAGTATGGGGACTTGTAACGCTAAAAACCGTGTTTGATACCAGTGGTAAACACAGTACACATATCCCATTGTATAGATACGTGCTTAACTTTAAAACAGACAAACAAATAAAGTGGCCAATTTTAACATTACCTATCTTTTTTTTGTTCAACTCTTAAATTCTTATTACATGGATGTCTAAAATTGATACAGAGCAAGATTGGCGACTTTCAAATGCAAAAGTTTCCCATTTCAATCCTGTTTAATTAACGTGATTTTAACAAACGTGTGTTGTATGATTCCTGCTATTTTTGTCTGAGTTTTCCTCTGGTCAGTAGCTCAAAAAAGTGACGGCAGCATATAAGCATAGTAGCAATGCCATAAATACAACTATCCAAAATTTGTCCCATTTTTTTGGCATTATTATTATTATTTCTCTATATTTGCAGGAGCCTGATGAAAAAGAAAAAGAAACCAAAGCTAATTTTACAAGGTTCATCTTCTCCAGGCGCGATCGAAAGTTCCCCATCATTCCTCCGCGTCTAAATTTCCGGCCAGGCTTTAAGTCCACGACCTCTACATCAACTCCTACTACTACAACAGCTATAACTTCAACTGTTAACCCTAAATATGATGCTGATGATGAGGACCCGTTCGATATATCGTCTTCAGTACACAGCCCTTCAGTTTTTTGGCCTGTTAGAAGAAAAATATCTTCGCGGATATTTAGTCCTCTTATACCTTCATCTACTACCCCTAAACCGTTATTGAAGTTACTGCAACCAAAACCAACAAGGCCTGCTATGTACAGTTTGGATGGGTTTGTGCCAGAACCGTCCGTAAGGCGCATAACAACAACAGAGGCGCCTTCTCACATTAAAGAGCTTTATAAAATCAGAAATTTACAAATATTATCTAAAAGAAAGCACAAGGTTAGAATTTAAGAAAGTAAATTGGACAACTATATAAATATAGAGAAGCTATGCATTGCCACTTCGCAATGACTTATTTAGTAAACTGGAAAATTATAAAAATATCAAAAGCTAGAGATAGTAGTGTATAACATATATCGTAAACACATTGGATTGGCTTGTGTATGGCATCACACAACTTTGGAACTATATTTTACCTTGAACGTTTCGTCCGATTAATCATACTTTCTGTTATATTGGATATAGTAATTTACTGAAATTCCTCGTCCTGTTTTGTACAATACTGTTTCAGTATAAATAAATAGACGTAAGCCCCATAGTATAATGTTAAGATAAAAAGAAAAAGAAAAACAGATTAACGTATCTCTTTTGGTCAAACTTGTTTTTTTTTTCTGTACGCTTTTAATACCAACATCTAATATATTTTAGTTTCTAAAGAATTGTATAATGTAGCAGTGACCTGTTAAGTTTAGTAAATTACTTTAAAATCTATCATAAATTATCATGACAAATACTCAAAACGTGATACCAGATATTGTTTGATTTTTAACAGCAATCTCTTAAGTCAAGCCCCAACAGACTGAGGACTAAGAATGTCAGGTTTACTAAAGAGAAGACCTTCAGCAGGTTTACAGCCCATAGAAGGAAGGGACAGCCTGGCAAAGACTATCCTATTTTCAATCACATTCCAGCTACTAGGTTTGTTTGTGGAGAAATTCCAGGGAGATATGCTGATCCAGAAACAGGTTGTCAAGTGAGTATTAATTCACTTAAAGAATATATTACCACAACTGCTACATTAAATAACCCAGGTTGTCTTGAATTTTTTTTCTTGTTCAACTCTGTTTCATACATATCGTCTTGCATATTTTATCTTTACTTATAAATTTTATGACGACTTACTATCATCAAATTATCCACCTGGTGCATTTTTCTCAAGGTATTTCACTAACACTGTTAAATGTTTCCCGATTGATCTCTTCTCCATCTTTCTATGTGTAATGGCCTACTGGTTAATGTGCTGTACTTTAGATTCGAAAGCTCATGATTCGCGTCCCTTTTGTCGCAAAAAGAAAAAAAAAACGCTTTCCTCACTTTTAGACCGTGTTTAATTAAATTATAATAGTGACGGTCAAATCCAACTATTCGACTAGAGTAACCCAAGAGTTGGGTGTGGATACTGTTGACTAGCTGCCCTTCCTCTAGTATATCAGCTTAGAATTAAGGAGGGCTAGTGCAGATATCCCTTGCGTAGCTGTGCACGAATATCTGAAATAAACAAACAAGCAAACAATCTATTTTTAATATGTTTACACGCCTTACATGTTGAAGAACGATGCCCCTAATTTGTCTTTCTGTTTTGATAAACATTTCCTGTGTTTTTCTTAATTTCATCTAGTTGTGTTTATGAAGCAAACTGCTAATAATAAATTTTCAGCTTATTAAAAACAACGTATACTATAGCTATCTTTAAAATTTCCTAAAGAACCATTAATCCTGCTGATGAACTGAAACACGTTTTCATGATATATTTCCAAATAACACGATAATATTATTTCATTTCTAAAAATCAATTCTGTTTAACAAATCGCCGCAAATATATTCTATTTAAGTCCGTCTAGGCATAAGAATAGATTCGCTGTTATTACGTGCTTTTGTTCGGATTGTTGAACAAGCAAAGAAAAACGCGCTTAGAATTTGACCCATATTATTAGCTTGCAAAGAAACTGTTAAGAAGGAGCTGTTTACTTTTAGAGTTGCAGCTACTGTTTTTTGTTTTTTCTTGCCTAATATTTTGTATAAAATATAAGCATTATATCAATATATATCCAAATATAAAGTTCTGGATTAGAAACAATACCCGAAAAATGTTGTTCAGTGTTCGATGCAAGGCACATAACATTGTAACTAACTTCAATCTTTAGTAGTGTCGTGATGCACAACATTAATGTTTTCTGATAATTACTTACAGGTTTGGCATCTATGTCCTGGAGGGTATAATCACTTTCGACATAGTTTTCTGTGTCCAAATGGTACAATATTTAACGAACGCCGTGGAATCTGTGACTGGTGGTATAACGTCAGCTGCGAGTTGGTCCTCCGACGTTGAAACTCCAAAATCTCTCAAAAGATGGCGACAGCTTCTTAGTATCACACAATTCACAAAAATAGATTTTTCTATTCAATTGATTTTCCCACTAACCAAGATAAATCGTCTAAATATAGGGATTAGAACCATTTCATTCTCTATTTAGATTCACACTTATAGTAGAATGAATTAGATGGAAGCTGTGAAAACCAAAGGATAAGAATTTTTCATGAAAAGAGTATAATCAAGATTTGATTTGTACATATATATTCAATTATCATCCAAGTAATTTGTTCATTTTTAAATGACTCCCAGGATAATATTTTATGACATTTTACCACTTTCATATTTTTTTCTATTTTGAGTAGTGTTTTTCTTGCAATGTGTCTTTTTTTTACATGAGCATTTAACTTATTACTCAGCTTCTATAGTTACGGGTATTGTGTACTTTGTTCTGGGTATTTCACATCAATAAAGTTTCTTTTCAAATTGTTTCTGAAACATTTATTCCCACGTCAAAGTCCTAAAACAGATCCTTTGATTTTTTTGTTCTTGTATTTAACTTATTTACTTAAATAATTGCAGATATCTAAATGAAGAAATGCGTTATCTCTGTGACTTGAAAACGGTGCTTTTTTCACACATCAGGCATAAAAGTTGATAATCATTCTTTAATGTTATGCAAACGTTCTTCACTTTACTTAAGTGTTTAATGAACTACAGCTGGGTGATGGAACTTTAAAATGTGGCTCTGAATTAAATTTGTTCTCTGAGCAAGGCAGAAACTCGATTAAATATCAAACCTATTCTTCAAAGGTTCCAGCAGGAATTATGTAGTGTGAGACTGGTGTACGCGCATCAGTTTGTTTAATTTGTTAATTTCTCGAATCTTTTGTTTAAAATATTTCATATAATGTATAAACATTACAAAAATATACATTTTTAATACTTAATATTTATATCTGCCAATATATAATAACTTAGTTTGAGGATAAAATGTAAAAATTATTAAAAGTTGGACATATTTTCAGTTACTAAAACTTTTAACAATGTGGTAAATATGCATGTTACGCATATATAAGATACACAACTTAATGTAGAAAAAAAAAATATTAAAAGACAAATGTGGTCATTTGTAGAGCTAAGGTTTAAATAACGGGGTGATTAGAACGTTGAAAAAAAGACAATAATTTATATCTAATAGTTCTGAGCTAAGAAATTATTGAGACTTTACAATAATTGTTCAGTCTTTTTAGAACAAACGTACTAATCAAGGTATTATTCTGCAAACGTTTAAAGCTTCAGTTGATATTTAACCTTGGCATCTTTTATTTTATATTCCATTCACGCTATAGTTAAAAATTATTTTAATATTGTTGAAGTACTAGATTTGAGAAGAAATGTTTTGTGTAAGTTGTGCACATAAAACTTAATTCTTAGAGATAAAATTATTAGTGTGTGTATTTTCTTATAGCAAAGCCACACCGGGCTATCTGCTGTGTCTACTGAGGGGAATCGAACCCCTGATTTTAACATTGTAAATCTGAAGAATTGCCGTTGTCCCACCGGGGGACAATATGAATAGTAAAATTTCAAACATAAAATTTTCACTCAGTTTTTCAAATCACTTACCACCGATGCTTACCTTCGTTAATATATCTGCAGATTTCATAATTTTCGCAGGATATATGCTAACTAATACTTCTTCATGAAATAATAACAAAACAAAAAATAAGTAGATATAAATTAAGGCAGTCAAAACTTCTTTTCTATATGAGTTAAGCCTAATATCCAATGGACTAGACATCATTGCTTGTACTACCAAAAAATAACCATAACATGTTACACTTTGAAACACTCTCAAGCTTAAAGCAATAAATAAATTATTTATTTTCAGGCACATTGTGCTACTGTATATTAAAAGTCAAAAATAAAAAAGCAGGTACTTGGTACATTGAAATATAAAGTTTTTATTAGTTGTTTCAAACGACTAGTTTCGGTAACACGGTTACAATCATCAGGGCTTGTGAATACAGTGTAAGTTTAGCCTGATGGTAATTGTGTTACCGAAACCAGTCGGCTAAAACAAATAATAAAGACTTGATCCTTCACTCAACCAAAACACTTCGTTTTCGTATTTTATATATATATATATTTGCTTTTAAGTAAACAGATAATTGGCAGGGACGGCAGCTAGTCATTATCACCCACCGCCAACTATTAGACTACTCTTTTACCAACAAATAGTGGGACTGACCATCACATTATAATGCCCCCGCGGCTGAAAGAGCGAGTATGTTTGGTGAGACGGGGATTCGAACCCGCGACCCACAGATTGCGAGTCGAGCGCCTTAAGTGGATCTATTCTTAATCTGATTAACTCCACTTATTCAGGTTTATTTTATAGCAGCCGAAACATTCCGTGAATTTTCATCTCGTTGGCCACCACTTGATGATGAGGGTGTATTTTTATAGGCATTTGCTACTTTGATGATGAAAAAAATCACAATGTATATTCATACTATTAGAGGGCAAATGACAGTCGACCTTGCATGTTTAACTGCTGGAATGGTGTTGATATTGAAATAAGTTGACGAATATTAAGATTATGATCAAAGAGTTGTATTTAAGTAGGAGCGAAGAAAACAATACAGTTTAGATTAAGATTTAAGGAAGTAAGCCATTTATATGTTTATATATATATATGGGTATATTGTGTATTAGAAATATGAATACACTTTTGCTAGGAGAGAATTTTCCGAAGTGTTTAAATAAAAAGCAACCTGAAGATAAAAATGTGTGCAAAGTAGTATTTATTGAAATTCGGTGTAGAAAACACAACAATAAAATACACATACCTATGTCAGTTATAAAATTATAATCAACAACTGTGATCAGCCATAAATACTAAACTTCATTGCAATTACAGAATAGAATAGATAACACTATCTAAACAAGTATTTCCTTCAAGTTTCGGTGGTAATGATTAGCTGTAGCTGTATAATTAAATATTCATTGTAATTAGATTAGATAACAACACTTATACATCAACAAGTCAATGTAGTAAAAACAAATAAGGTACATCACCCATAAAATAATAATAAAATATTTATAATTTATGAAGAAGGGAGAGAATTAGTTTTCACGGGTCTTTTCAGCAATCTAGAAGTTGTCACACCTTGCTAATTGAGGCTTACCGACTATATCCGTCACCATGGTGATCTTTCGCCAGCTGTAATCCATTAATGTGTTCTGCAATATTTCCAGGAAGATGAGGATAACCATCTTCTGAAACAGGAACTTTAACTAACACGTATCTTGTTCCGCCATGCTTCTTCGCTTCCGGATTAGCTACAGATTGAACTGGAAGAGAAAGAGACTTTGATGATGAAGTAGGGGGCTCCGACTTCAACGGAGAATCAGGTTCAGGGATGATATAAAGCTGAGCATTGAGATCGTAGAAGTTTGTAGCTTGGGAACAAGACACGTTGAACCACCACATGCAGGTGAAGGTTTCCTGGTTAAAGACTGAACCGTTTGGGCACAGAAAACTGGCTTTAAACTCTTCTCCGTAACAGAAGTGAAATGCCTTTATATATATAAAATGTGTACATTATAGCATCAACCAAAAAATTACAAAAGCTATAAGAAGTCAAGTTTAGTATTTTTCTGCAGATCACATCGATTCTTATTTCTTAAGCGTGCAAAGCATAATAACCATAAGTGAATTTACATAATTCTCTATATACTACTAAAACTCTGAGATTGTTTGTTTGTGGGCTTGTGTGTAATTAAATACAGCAAAAACGACGCATAATAGTGCTATATTTTTAATAAAATGAGAATAGAAACAGAATAAAACGAGTTTCGTTAAAATCGGGCCACGGGTTACCGAGTTAACCCCGTTTTTCGGGTCACTTTATGAAAATGTCTATATGCATTTATCTACATTAGATGGCGCCACATATCAATTTATCTATCTATCTATTCGTTTTCCACCTAATAAATCACTT